TTTTTTATTTATTTTATTTATAATATTAAGTGCATTAAGTACATGCTTTTTATTGCACTATCTTAAAAACTAACTTAAAAGCTAACAAGATATTTATTCAAGTACAATTTATTTTGAAAATTACAAATAGTAGAAAATAATAAAATTGAGTTAAAAATTACAATTTTGCTATAATTTCAAATTGGATATTATTATATGATATAAAGGAAGTATAAAAATTAAACTAATATTAACATTTAATTTAAAATAAAAATAATAATTTAAATAAGTTCAGTTAACAATAACTTTTTAAAAACTCTTAAATCACATGCATTTCGGGTTGAACTTGGTAAAGCGTTCCATAATCGAATTGAATGAATAAAGAAAAACCTAGTGGTAGCAACAAAATTAAATCTTGGAATTATGAAAAGAAGAGATCTTGTGGAACGCATAGGCTGCAAGCAATTATAAAGGTACTCAGGATATTTAGAAGTTTTTAATTGGAACAGAAATAGGCAGATTCGAATATTTAAATACTGCTCAATGTCACAACCCAGTATAGCGTTTCTATAAACTGTTAGATGATCAAAACGTTTAAGGCCGTAGACGTATCTAATACAACAGTTTACTACAGTTCTCAGTTTAGCAAGGGACTCGTAGTCCAGTTTACAGTACACCAACGCGGCATAAGTAATTATAGGCAATATTAGTTGTCTGACCAATAAGCCACGGACATGGACAGGGGTATACTTAGCAGATAAATTCAAATATCTGAGGCAAATAAATGATTTCCTAACGACATGATTGATATGATCAGAGGTATGTAGCTTTGAATTCAAATTAAATCCTAGACATTTAACTGATGCACTATATTTAATAATTGAGTTTCCAATAGCTACCGATGGTAATTCGTCTAAGTTTAATTCAGACCTACTAAGCGGCAATATGATGGTTTTATCTGCATTTAGCAGCATATTGTTTTCAACCGCCCAGCGATGTATGCATGTTAAATCTATATTGATCTTTGTGACAATGTCATTTAAATTATCACTCCGACACGAATAATACATTTGTATATCATCGGCATATCCATGTAGCCTCGAAAATTGACATACTGAGAAAACGTCATTAATATAGATCGAAAATTGCAATGGCCCAAGAATCGATCCTTGAGGAACCCCAGAAGACAGAGGTTTAAAATTTGAAAATTTATTATCAGTAACTACTGACTGAGATCTCTCAGTTAAATAACTAAAAATAAATTTAGAAGCTAAACTGGAGAAGTGGAACTTATTTATGAGCTTTCTACAGAGCAAAGCGTGATCAACTCGATCAAATGCTTTTGAAAAATCTAGAAGGCATAAGTAAGTAACCAAATCCCTATCATAACTTAATCTAATATCTTCAAGGACTTTCAGCAAGGCAGACGCACAACTATGACCTTTTCTGAAACCAGATTGATAAGGAGATAGCAGATGAAAAACGTTTAGATGATTACGAATCTGTTCAGACATTATAGCCTCACACACTTTGGAAAGAGAAGAAAGAATACTGATAGGTCGATAGTCAGAAACTAATGAAGCATTAACTTTTTTCTCAGTTGGAATAACTTTAGCTTGTTTCCATGCCACTGGAAATGTAGAGGTAGTAATACAATAGTTTATAATATGAGTTAATGGAGATATTATAAATGGTGAAATGAGCTTTATGAATTTAAGAGGAATGTCATCTAGCCCAACAGCATTAGACTTAATATTCATTAAATTCTTAAAAACAATATCTTCACTGACGTAGTAAAAACTAAAGCCTTCATTAGCGTCAACAATATTCATATCAAAGAATACTGAAGAAGAGCTACCATTATCCTCTACAGAAGAAACAAAGAAGTTATTTAGAGCATTTGGGTCCATATTGCATATATTTTTACTTTTTCTTGTAACCCCAAGCATTTTGATATTATTCCAAAGGGTTTTAGTAGCTTTAGTACCACCAAGCTTAGATTCATAGTAATCTGACTTAGCCTTAAAAACAGTTCTAGCAGCTACATTTCTAGCAATTCTAAACTTCATCCAGTTATATTCCGTAGGGTACTTTTTCCAAACTGCATATTTTCTATTTCTTAAATTAATAAAACGTTTTATTGTAGTACTAAACCATGGGCAAGAAACATTATTGACGGTAATAGTACGAAAAGGTACATACCGATTACGAAGGCTAAGCAATTTTTTATTAAATGCATCTAATTTTTGATCAACTGAAATACCAGACCAACATTCATTCCATTCAGTTGAATTAAGTTCACAAAATAATCCCACTGAATCAATTGACTTATAATCCCAAAAAGAAAATCTAGTTGAGATGGATTTTTTAGTTTTCTTGAAGTCAAGCGTAATAAATAGTAGGTCATGATCTGAAACAAATGAAATCTGTTCAAACAACAACAATTTGCTTATATCAGAAACTGCAATTATGTCCAGAAGACTAGGCTTAACATTATTGGCATATCTAGTAGGTATGGTCCTATTGACAATATTTAAGCCCGACATGGCAATAAGATCATTTAAACGGGAAACATTACCACAGTTTGAGAGAAGGTCATTATTGAAATCGCCAAGTACTGCTAAGAAGTCGAAATTAAGCGCAATGGGTTGCAGTGAATCAAAAAATGGATCGCAACTAAAGCGTTTGTGTGAATTATACACGCACCCCACCAATATTTTCTGAAAACCAACATTGATGCTTATAACAACAAATTCAATGTCAGACTCACCAGATATACATACCAAATTACTTTTTAAATGAGACTTGCAATAAATTGCCACCCCGCCTCCTCTCCTTTGCCTCCTATCATGGCGGTATAAAATATAATTGTTCATTGACAGAAATAAGCTACTGATGTCGCTATTAAACCAAGTTTCCGAAACGCATATGATATCAACATCAGAGTTTTCAAAAACAGTCCTAATGTAGTCAAATTTTAGATCAGTTAGGCTTCTAGCATTAAAATGTACCACATTAAGACCGCAATTTTGTTTACTAAATATATTTAACAAAGTTTTGTGGTCCATCAAAGTTGATAATCAGTCATTTCAGCTTCCAGTCTAAGTTTTCTTTGTAAAGTTTTACATTTTAGGTCCCTGGAATCATGGTCTATGTCGAGATCATTCAGATTTAGATTTTTCTTGGCTTTGATACAGTTTACACATCTTAGAACGCTGCTTTTACATTCTTTGTATATGTGGCCAGCTTCACCGCATTTTGCACATACATGCACACTTTCCTTACAAACAGACGCTTTATGGTTAAAACCCCAGCACTTGTAGCATCGCATTAAATTCAAGTTTTCGTACACTATGCATCGTTCCCAGCCAATATTAAGTCTACGAACACTCATAACTTGCTTGAAAGCTATGCCATCTAATTCAACTAACGCGTTAAAAATGTTTTTATTTTTGAACGACTCATATATTTTCAAGACTTTAATATATTTAATCTCCATATTGTTTTGATTTCTTATTGCTTGGAGAAATTTATCATTTTCCAAACGCTCACTCATGCCGGTAATAAGGATTTTAGGGTTTCGCATAGCAGGTGTCTCAATTTCATAGTTCTTACCTAATTTCTTTTTAATCTCTTTTGCAAGAATTTCTCTCTCTTTTGAGGTTACACATTTTATTGTTACCCTTCCATCATGTTTAGAATGAACACCACAAACTTTAACATTAAGCTCTGATGGATTTATTTTAGTTTTTAAATCATTTTTAGTTGCTTCACTTAATTGCTTATTTTTAGGTTTTAGCGTTATTGGAATATTTGGATTGTTTTTCATCTTTAATTTCGCGGCGTACGTTTCGCTTTGAATTTCATTATTTTTGATGGTTTTTACCAATTCAGCACCTAATTCGTTACCATTTTTAGTCAAATTATCAGACAAGTCTATTATTTTTTGCTCAAACGAAGCCAATTTTTTTTCATATTTTTCTTGTACTGCCATAAGAGAGGTGACTCTGTCAGAATACTTAGATTCAATTGCTTTTAGTAAAGATTTAATTTCACTTTCATTAATTTTTAGTGATTCCTTGAATTCGCTTTTGTATTCTTTTAAAATGTTCGTATTTTTAGTTACACTTTCTTGCATTTCTCTTAAAGCAAAGTCAACATTATGTATGTATTGCACACAGTCTTCACATATAAAATGTATCATTTTATTATTTAAAATATTTATATTGAATTGTTCTACTCCTGAACATTTTGGAGCAGTGTGATATACATGACCACACACACCTGAACATATCAGACCCGTCTCACCACGGATTCCTAAATGACACTTATGGCATTCTTTCATATTTAAGTCATATATTTTATTTATTTAAAACAATATTTTAAAAAAAAAAAAAAAAAAAATGAATTTGATATTAACTGACTTTACCAGTAAACTATAGTTCCTTTGATTTATTCAATTACACAATTACACTTAACGATTGCTTTTTGTGAAAAAAGAATGTACGTTTCACAACACTTATTTTTGTTTATATTTCGAGCTTTAAAGCTTTAATTGCTGTCTCTATCAGCTGTTTTAAGTATGTGTATAAAAACAAATCAAAACAAATTTAAAAACGCGCGAATTATTTTGCAAAGGAAATAATTTATTTGGCTAGCAGCACAATTTATTAAGTTCGATTTTAATAAAATTTAACACGCCCGGCGCAAAAATCCATAATTCCCGGCGACCACTCTCAAGTTCTATCAAGTTTATTAGAACTTCAACAATTATTTCAAGCAAATTCCAGAATTTTACCATAAAAAACGCGGACAACAACAAAACCACGACTTGTTGTTTTGACTTGTTTTCTTTACAATAAAGATATAATTGAGGGACCAATTTATGCAAATATCAAAAAAAAATTTAATTTTAATATTTTAAATTTACTATATTGAAAACAATCTTTATTTAATATCATAACATTCTACATCCATCCATACATCCATTACCATTGTGACTAAGGAAAATTTATTTGTCGGTATAACATTTTAATTTCTTCAATTTGCAAACAACTAAATATTTAAATTTAGATATCAATGGTTATAATTATTAAACAATGAAGAATCGCATATTGCTTAGTCTATATATATACATATTTATAGCACAATCTTTGTAATATATAATGAAACAAATAGTATGACTATATTATGTCATATATTTATTGTAGTTTTAAAGCTACAATAATGCTTTAGCCAATTTCATATAACACATATACCTTATGATCAAAAAAAAACGAGAATTTAGATCACGCAGCGAATTCTCTTTTATGGCCTCTATGGTCTGAAAACGCATTCCTCGCAATGGCAATTTGAATCGGCGCACATAGGGGTATTTACTCAATTTAGGCGGCCAAAAATCCAATTTTTGAAATTAAGTTTTCATAAAAATTTTTAATTGGGGTCTTTACAAAATAGAATTGGCTACAAAATTATGTTTTTTTTATTTTTCTCTGTTCTGCCATTCGCATGAACAGCTGATTTGAAGTGGAGCATTTTGAAAGTAAAATTTTTGTTTGAGTTGCAACTTATGCTAGTAGCTTATAAAAAGTGATATTATTAATAGTGACAACATTCTTTAAAGATATAAATTATGACATCGTTTAAAGCAGGTAATTAGAGATCTACTCATAAAATTTAAAGTAGATATTCTGTGTTTTAGTGCTGTTGAGGCTTTAATCTAAAAGTTGCAATTTGAATGAATTTTCTTGATTTAAGCGAATGCATTATAGTCAAAAAGTAATAGAATTCCGCACTATTCCACTATGATATTAATTGCATTATAAAGGTGGAAGTTTCTTGATTTAAGAAAAAAAAAGTTTGGCTGCGGATTTTTGCGGATGGCTTTGTAAGTAACAAAAAACTGCAATAGAGTCATACATATTTGAAGCAATATTTTGCATTGCTTCGTATACAAAACGAGTAAACATAATATTTAGATAATGTAGGAGAAAAAATATTGTTATGCCTGAAATGTAAAGATCTGACACATTGAAACATTGAAGATAAAAATAATATTTACTAATTTTTGTGAGTATTTGAAAACCTAATCAAGCGCACCTGCAGCATTCAGTGTACTCGTAAGTAGCGTTTGTGATCTATGTTTACTATGTGTTTCCGTGTAATCTTTCCATAATTAAATTTTATCACTTTGTATTTAGGTACTTCAGGAGTTACAGCAATAAGTATAGCATGTATATTAAGCATAATGCAAAGCTGCAAAAGCTCTAATATTTATGAGAAGGTTAAATTTGCTGAAAAACATTTTCTTGATTTCGAAAAGTATTCTGAAAAAGATTTAAAAGATGTAAAACAAAAGTTTGCTAAGTTTAAAATTGAATATAAACAAAGATGGCTGCATTCTCATAGAAAAACAGGAGTTTTCATGAAAAAAAATCAGAACTGGATTCAAGGAACTATTTCAGTACCACGTAAAACCAAAAGCCCAGGACGACCACTGAAATCTTTTGAACAGTCCAGCGATAGAAGCAAACGACGAAAAGCTGACCAACTACGCAATGATACAAAAGAACTTACTGCAGCTACCCAAATGAAATTGCACTATTTTGGAATGCGAGATGTTTCTCAAGTTCTCAAAGAAATTACTAATTCACCAAATCAAGCTCAAACCATTGAGCAGCTGTCGACATTAGACGCTCTTTCAATGTTTATTGAAGCAAACTTGTCTCGTAGGCAATATGAAATAGTAAGACAAAGTAATAAAAAGTTTTATCCATGTTATACTTTAATCCAAAAGGCCAAAAAGGACTGTTATCCATTAGGCTCAGCATACAAGATCACTGCTACTTGTGCCGAAATCAATTTACAAGACCTTTTGAATCATACAGCAACAAGAATATTGGAATATCTTCAAGAAGTGATTAAATTATTAGAACAGAATGATTTAAAAAACTTAACACTCGTTTGTAAGTGGGGTTGTGATGGATCACAGCAATCCCAATACAAGCAAAAATTTGACAATGAGTTCGATTTGGATACAAATATTTTTCTAAGTTCGTTGGTACCACTGCAACTAATATAATCAAACACTCAGAAACTGATATGGCACAACCCAATTCCTTCTTCACCACGCTATTGCCGTCCTATCTAGTTCCGTCCGGATTACTTTTGTTAGGTATACGAATATGTTTTGCCAAAAAGTCACATTAAGAAACTGAAATGAAATTGTTTTAGCAACTTTAAAAGTCATGAAGTAGCTTTACGTAACATTTTGAGTAAAAAATCACACAAAAATAATTTTGGCCGCCTAAATTGGTCAAATACCCCAGTGTGCGGCGGAAGAGGAAAAAGTCACACGGGGCCATATCTGGAGAGTACGGTGCTTGGTTGATGATATTGGTGGAGTTTTTGGCTAAAAACTGCGACACAACCAACGCTGTGTGAGCCGGTGCGTTATCGTGGTGCAAAATCCATGAGTTTTCCTTCCATAAATCTGGCTTCTTTTTGCGAATGGCCTCACGCAAACGATGCATAACGGCCAAATAATACTCCGTCCGGAAGGAATTCATAGTGCCTCAAACCACGAATATCGAAGAAAACAGTCAGCATAACCTTGATTTTGGACATGTGGGCATGTGGGCATGTCAAATTCATAGACCCATGTCTCATCACCAGTTATGACGCGTTCGATGAATGTGGGGTCGCTATCTGCGTTGGAAATCGTCGCTTTGGCCACATCACAATGACGCCACACGAAAATTTTTCGACTTCTTTGTATAGACGCCAGACAAAAACGAATCGTACGATATGCGTTAAACTTTGACAGAATGTGTATAATAGTGTTGCCAGCGTGAAAATAAAAAAAAATTTCCGATTGGATAAGCACGGGAATTCAAAAAAAGAACGAATAAGTTCTTTTTTGATTACAAGGTA